AGGCTGGGCGGCTTGGGCTTCACTCAGTAAGGTGGTCTCAAGGTAGTTGGACTTCTTAACTGGTGCCTGGCTTCCAAGAGGCCACAGCTGATGCTGCCTGCCCTCAGAAAGGCTAAATCTAGACTTGGCATTGCATGAGCCGCATAACTACTTCATACCCTAACTGTCAGAGTGGCCACGGGGCAGCCCGGGTTGGGGGCCAGGGGGGCAGGTGCTACATCCCAGTGGGTGCAGCATCAACCAACGTGCAGTCATCGCTACCTGCCACGGTGCTTGTGGAGATGGACTGGGGGACCAGGGCGAAGCCTAGTCTGGCTCTCCGGAGAGACATCGGAATCGGAGACGTGAGTGCAGGAATTTTGTGGGGAAAGTTTAGCAGTCAAAAATCTTAAAAATGGGTGATTAGATCAGGGAGTTGAGACTAGAACAGGACTGCATTTACGAGAGAGCTCGAACTCTTTTTTTTTTTTTTTTAAGATTTTATTTATTTATTTGACAGAGAGAGAATGAGAGAGAGAGCACATGAGAGGGGGGAGGGTCAGAGGGAGAAGCAGACTCCCTGCTGAGCAGGGAGCCCGATGCGGGACTCGATCCAGGGACTCCAGGATCATGACCTGAGCCGAAGGCAGTTGCTTAACCAACTGAGCCACCCAGGTGCCCCATGATTTTATTTATTTAAGAGAGAGAGAGCATGAGAAGGGGGAGGGTCAGAGGGAGAAGCAGACTCCCCGCTGAGCAGGGAGCCCGATGCAGGGCTTGATCCCAGGACCCTGGTACCATGAACCTCAGCCAAAGGCAGACACTTAACCGACTGAGCCACCCAGGCACCCCTCCTTGCTCATATTTGTAATATGTGGTTTCTCTTTTTTCCTGTTGTGTCTGGAGGTGTTTCAATTTTACTTATTTATTCAAGCTATCTGCTTTGGAGAGGTTCAAAAGTTTTCTTGAAAATCTTAAAAAAAAATTTTTTTTTTAAAGATTTTATTTATTTGAGAGAGAGAGAATGAGAGACAGAGAGCACGAGAGGGAAGAGGGTCAGAGGGAGAAGCAGACTCCCCGCCGAGCAGGGAGCCCGACGCGGGACTCGATCCCGGGACTCCAGGATCGTGACCTGAGCCGAAGGCAGTCGCTTAACCGACTGAGCCACCCAGGCGCCCCGAGAGCTCGAACTCTTAACAGCCAGTCGGAGGACAGATGCTCCTAGCAACTGCGCAGGACAAGACAGGAGAGGTGAGGGGACAGGTTTGGAGACTGCAGGGCTGGCGGTGAAGAAGGCGCTAGGAGTGGGAGTGGGCGACGGCGCCCCCTGCCGGATGGTGGCTGGCGGCTGGGGGAGGCAAGTGGGGGCTGGAGTCAGTCTGGTTTGCCAGTTTTCCAGGGCTTGGGGAGGGGTCAGTAGCAGGGAAAGAAGACAGGAACACAGGGAGGACTGGAGGGGTGGCCTATGGAGGGCACCTCTGGCTTCTGGAAGGAGGGTGAGACAGGAAGACTCAAGTAGAGGATGGTGTAGTATAGTGGGGTATTTGGGGAGGGGAGAGGCTCAAGGAAGTCTCTGCGTTCTCTGTGAAGGTGGAATGAAACCACTCCGGGCCAGAATCAGGAATTCTTCCTCCTCAGAACATCTTTATAGGACATTTCTTCTAATGTTAGCTATGAGTGCACAAAACTGGAGAGAGTTCAAAAGAACTGGGGATGAGAAAACAAGGGGTTGCGAAAGCCAAGTTTTGTTTATCTGTTTGCTTTACCACTTTTCCTCATTGTTTTAATTATGGGTTTTATCAAATGAATTTAAAAGGAGATGTCATAAAGGTAAACAGTTTAAAGCAGGAGGGTACAGTCACATGCTCACTAACTTTTGGAAAAATACTGGAAAAATACGGGAGTACTATATTAAATGACAGTTAAATCTTTTCTTTATCTTGTGGTGTATAGATGGAAATAGGCTCTTTTTCCATCGTTTTTTTTTTTTTGTGTAGATTTCTGCTTTACGAAAACTGGTTAATTGTATGACAGTTTGAACGTTATATATATGTATATATACCAAATTCCTTTCAGCCAATACTTTTCCTGCATAGAGACAGAAATTCTTTGACAGAAAAATACTACGAATTAAGAATTGAGTAATTCAGCCTAAATGATGTAATCAACTAAGTCTAAGACTATCATGAAGAGAAAAGGCCAGATAAACCAGCCTTTTGTAACACATGTACCATGGATAAGCATGCCTCCTTGTATCGAGTGAAAACAGACAGAAGTCTACTATAGCATTTGGCCTGTAAAAGCAAGATTTTAATTTTTGTGTCTTCATCATGTCTTGCCTTTACTAGAGTAAGAAAAAAAAAAAAGATGCATGATCAGTGGAATTTACAAATATTTTGTTTGCTCACAAATAAAAATATACACTCTTTGAAGAGAGGAAGTATGTCTCCCATCTTTGTGTCTTGTGCCTGGCACAGAAGCTCTCAAAAGGATGGAGAGTGAATAAATGAAGCATGAGTATTGAAATCAGCTTTATTTGGACATAACCTGAAAAATTATAAAGCGGAAGTATAAACCAGGCTGTAGGTATTACAGTGAATCTACTCTATACATATCCATCCCAGAGACTGTATTTTATACAATAATTGTGCAAGCACAGAAACTTACACATAGACAGGATGGGTGGCTAGGTAACCCCAGCTTCTGAACTAGAAGCTGAAAAGTATGATTAAACGTATCGAAAATATTTTCCAGTATTCACTGGTAGAAAAAAATAGAAATTAAAGATTTTGATATATTTCATATTAATCTTTGCTATAAGCAGATGGCTTTGGATGCATATAGGCTTTCATGAAGTCAGCTTCCCTTCTTCCGTCTTGCTTTAGAGAAAGCAACAAGCAAGGCTTGGTGTGGTGGAAAAGAAGCAGTGATTTCTGTTTGAAAACTGTTAGAAGATATTGAGAGTTTTACCATTTAGCTCCAATCACAACACCAAGAAAAATATATTAAAATAGATATTTTTAGAGTATATTATTTCATCTAAAAGTAAATAATTTAGAACTAGGACATTTCATTCCATGCTTAGAACCCTCCACTGGAATAGGTAATCCATTTGATTTTATTCAACGAAACAGATTTATGGTATCTAGTTTGGAATATTCTATGTAGGCTAATAATTTGACTTTCATGATTTGGAGTTCTCACGAATAAGGTCCTAAACTATCTGCTGAAGCTACTCTGTAATTTTGCATATAGTGTCTGGCTTCTTTTTTTGTTTTTGCATGAAGGAGAGGGGGACAATGTCTCCAGAAACACTGACTCTTTGTCAAACAATGGCTACAAAAATTCTAACCATTAGGCGCATATATAAATGTATTTCTGTGTGCTATATATGTATATGTATATATATGTATACATATACATATATATGTATATGTATATCTATACATGCATATAGATATCTGTGTAATGTACATTCTAGCTATGGTTTTGTTCTTTAACTTGAAAAACAAAAGCGATGAGAAAGAGGAAAATGAAACAAAGCCACACACATTGAGCCTTAGGGTGGCTAAGAGACTAAGCTATTTGTTTATCAGATTGGCAGAAACTGCCATGACCAAGGGATGCTGGGATACTTGCTCACCTCCATTTAAAGGCAATGCAAACAAACTTCCAGGGACCCTTAGTCAAGCTGCCTACAAATCATATCCATTAGCACGTGATGCATGAGTAGGAAACCTAGGTTGACACACATTATTTTAAAAGTGCATATATATATATACATACATATATATATATGTATATATACATACACATATATATGTATGTATTTGAAATCCTCCTAATGAAATGACCAGGATTTTGTATTTAATGGCTAAAGTGACACTGAGTGTTAGCAATGTAATTTTCTTTTTTTTTTTTTGATTTTTTTTTTTTTTTTTTTTTTATTTGCGAGAGAGAGAATGAGAGACAGAGAGCATGAGAGGGAGGAGGGTCAGAGGGAGAAGCAGACTCCCTGCCGAGCAGGGAGCCCGATGCGGGACTCGATCCCGGGACTCCAGGATCATGACCTGAGCCGAAGGCAGTCGCTTAACCAACTGAGCCACCCAGGCGCCCAGCAATGTAATTTTCTATTACCAACAGTAGTATCAATAATTCTTCAATGATAAAGTGTAAAGGGAAAAACTTAAAGAATGATAAATTAAGTATTTTTCTGCTCCCTTCACCCTGTAATATTTCGTCAAGTGTTTGAACAAAATACAGAACAGTCATGGGGTTGTGCAGGGTACTGCTCATTCCAAGGAGCCTTTATCCCACATCAAGGTTAAAACTTCAATGAGTTTCCATTGGCTGAGTGATTGCATAAATTAATGTCATTCAGAACAGCTTTAACTTGCACAGCTGACTTTGGAAATGTGTGACTAAGCTCCTAAATTGGCATCGAAGGCACATTTACGGGAGTTGCCTTATCTCTGCACCACTTACTGCCTTTCATCCCCCCCTCACTTCCTCCCATTATCATCATCACTTTCATCACAGGCAGCTGAAGTTTCTCCTTCAAAATCAAAAGCCCTTGGAGAACAATCCTGCCTTAAAGCTATGGGCCGCCGAAAATGTGTTGTCTCTTTCATTTACATTTTGATTAAGTGAAAGTCTCTTAATTTGGGCCATTATCAATACATAAATCTGTAGAGAAAATGAACATGCATTTATAATGCAACCAACATTACATGATTTACTGTTCTTATAGTGTGTAAATACAGAAGGGGAGAGAAAAAAAAAAAAAGTCTAGCTCTGAGGTCCCCCGGACATGAGGCACTGTCAGCGACTCACAGGGCAACTCACACCCTCTGTGAAGGCGAGCCTCAAGCTCCCCGTGTCTCCTCCCATCATTATTTCAACCGAACTAGGTCTCCAGTTTCAAAACCATCACACACAAATCTGTCTACTCTACTCGACCAATCTTCCCGCGGGGAGGTTTGTGAGTGGTAAACTGAAAGGCTCAAAATGGGTTTCCATACCTGATTGTGGACTTTGTTTGGGGATTTTGGCTACCGCTTGAGGGCTGGAGGTGGCGTACATTCGCTGGTTGGCAGAGCTGTGGATGCTGCTGGGAAGGGCCGCGGAGACATTCTTGCGAGGCTTCGTATCTTGCAGCCACATGGGCGAGGCTTCGAAGGCCTGCATCCTCCTGGCATGGCTGTTGGCGTTGACTTTCAGGTAGGCCTGGGCTTTGTGTTCCTGTAGTTCTCCGTAATTGGCATCGGTCACCCTGCATTCGTATAAGCCTTCATCCTTTTTCCTCACTTTGGAAATCTGAAGCTTGTGAGAGATGTCATTGCCTTGGACTTTCACGGTCTGAAAAATTGCAGGTAAAAAAAATAAAGTGCTACATCAGACGGTTTTGTTCCCACACTTGCTCCTGAGCTTGCTAATGCTGGAAAATTAAAGGGTCTTAATGGCCTCATAGCCACAGTCAAAGAACTATTTATTTTCTCAACAGTCAAATATGCAGGTCATATTTATCCCATTGCACTAACAACTGGCTTCACAAAATCATGGAATAATTAGTTCAGTCCAGCCAGCGCCAGATTCTATTAGCCATGTGGTCCGCATTTCCCAGGTTCCAGGAGCGGTCCTGCCATTTTTCCAACCACGAGATTGACCTCTGCCTGGATAGCTCAGTCAAATGAAGCACAAACAGAATATGGTGAATGATTTAGTTTTACAGCCTCTCTTCTTCACTGCAGGCTACAACTCTGAGAGATCACAAAATTGTTTTGTTGCTCACAACAGAGTTTGAGACTGTGTTTTTATCCCCGCACTGGGATGCCTTACTAAAGGTAACTGAAAAAATAGGTGTGAATATTTAACAGTCTACTCAAATGTTTGGTGCAGTCTTACCAATAGTCTTGGGGGTGGTATGGCTCAGAGTACAGATTAAGGTCACCTGGAGTCTTATGGTCAGAGTGCATACCCCCTGCCATGGTAGGGTCTTTATGCTACTGGACCTGGAGATGCCATCGATCAGACACTGGTTTGATTTTCAAAATTAAAACTGGCTCTCTTATTTCTTCTAATAATGTTTATGTCAGATTAATTGCAAAATTATATGTAAATATTAAAAGATAAGTTTGTATTACGTGTAACATACATGAACACATGTATATCCATAAACATCTTTATCAGAACAGTTAGATTTTACATACATCATATATTATCCATGATCAGATGATGGATTTCATAAGACACTCAGGATTTAAGGATTTGCATGATTTTGGAAGACAGGGAAATGAAGTAAAGAAGGCATACACTTTCAAATGGCCATAAGTAATTAAGAAAACTAGGGAAATGTTCATTGTTTTTTACATACAGAGTTATATATACGAATAGTTATCAGTATTTGAACCATAACCATAGTATGTATTTATTTGTATGCAAAATTACATATTAAGATACTCATACTATGAAAATAATGGGGATTAATAGTTTCAAATATAGTCTCAGTTGAGTCTCCTAATAAAGTTTGAGATAGTTGGGGTACTTATATGATTATTATTATTTTTTTTTAAGATTTTTTTTTTTCTTTATTTATTTGAGAGAGAGAGAATGAGAGACAGAGTGCATGAGAGGGAGGAGGGTCAGAGGGAGAAGCAGACTCCCTGCCAAGCAGGGAGCCCGATGCGGGACTCAATCCCCGGACTCCAGGATCATGACCTGAGCCGAAGGCAGTCGTTTAACCAACTGAGCCACCCAGGCGCCCCTTATATGATTATTATTTTAGAGAAGAGTAAACTGAGGTTTGGGGGTTTGGGTCCTGATTCTCAGCATTGACTGTACATTAGAGTCATCTAGGGAGAGTTGTTAGTAAATGGTCTCATTTGGGGGCACCTGGGTGGCTCAGTCAGTTAAGCTCCAACTCTTGATTTCAGCCCAGGTCATGATCTCAGGGTCGTGAGATCGAGTTCCACACGGGGCTCTGCACTGGCCCAGTGGAGCCTGCTTAAGATTCTCTCTCTCCCTCTGCCCCTCCCTCCCCTCTCTCTCCCCCTCTCTAAACTAATAATAATAATAAAGAAAATGGCCTCATTTGGATTAATGTGGAAACATTAAGCTTGCATCTCAAGGAGGCACAGCTCCTATCAGTGTTTGATAAAAGCATTCCTGAGAATTCTAAGTTAACAACTGCTGGTTTAAGACAAATGACCAAGGTCACCCGGTTAAACTGGGAATAAACTTCTTTCTATCTCAGTCTGTAACCAGAACTTTTGCTGATTCACTAGATACTATGAACTTTTAGCATAGATAATACTGTTAGTAGTTATGTGCATGATCATGTATCTTAACTGTATGGCTCCCTAGTTCAGGATGTGTGAAGCTATTCCTTACTGGTCTTTGGAGGATATAATCATGGCCGAAGGGTGAAGCATGAATAGTCAGTGAACAATCTAGCTACTACATATATGTATAAAAATGAAATATTTAAGGTAAGTATTGTCAACAATTGATTTTACCAGTAAAACCTTTCTAGCACTGTATGAAAACAATAATTTCTGTAATATCATAATAATTGAATTGAAATATTCTAAAAAGTCAGTGAGTTTATGAATATAAATTGTAGTTTTTGGTTTATGTCTCATTTTTGTTTGATATTTGCTTCCATGTTGAGATTATACACTTACATCACAGAATTTGGTTCTATTAGTACAATATATTTTTATACTTTTAGTTGTGATATAATTCCAATCTTATATGACTTTTTTACTATTGTAACAGCTTCAGAATAAATTTTCTTTTTTAATATAGGTCATTGGATTTTTAGATTCTTAAAATGAATAAATAGTAAGAATATATACTTATATATATTCCTATGTATAGTATATATGCTAAGCAGACCTTGTACTTTCTGACTTTATATAACTATTTCATTTCTAGTAATGAAAACTTGCTTACTATTTATGAATGAGTTAAGCAGTTCTATCAACATAAAGTGATTCTAGGAGGCTTCATTGGTGGTGTAGTAAAAAAAAAAAATACTATTTTCTTTTTATTTCTAATTTCACATAGCATTATTAAAAGTCAAAATACAGGGCGCCTGGGTGGCTCAGTTGGTTAAGCGACTGCCTTCGGCTCAGGTCATGATCCTGGAGTCCCGGGATCGAGTCCCGCATCGGGCTCCCTGCTCGGCAGGGAGTCTGCTTCTCCCTCTGACCCTCCTCCCTCTCATGCTCTCTGTCTCTCATTCTCTCTCTCTCAAATAAATAAATAAAATCTTTAAAAAAAAAAAAAGTCAAAATACAACTCTTTTCAATAGGTCAACCTCCACGAATTATGTTTTATATTTACATTGCCTTATGGTTTTATTTTATATGATTTTGAGCATTGTCATTAGAAATACATTGCATGCATTATGAATCACATTGAAAATTGAGTTGTTTTCAATACAATTTCAACATCCTGTTGAATGCTTTAATTTTTTCCTGCTTAGGAAGATTTTCATAAGTTAGTGTTTTACTTCCTATTAAAGGATAAGTATTTCTGTGATTTTGAATGAATATTAGTACTGCAGCCCTATACTCCTACAGTTATGTAAGTGCCAAAAAGAGTAAGAAGAAAGTGTCACACTCCTCGGCTGGCAAATGATTCTCTAGTAATTGTTTAAATATTTACGATATTGAAATAAATAATTTTATTGTATCAACTCCAAATCTGCTTCAATTTTTATGTACCCGGTAAATAAGAAAGAGAAAACTGGATCTCGTCCTGCGTTCGTGAAATTGCCTTTTTCCGGGACAGTAAGTTAAAAGGCTTTTAAAAGCCTAAAGTTCCCCTAATTTTCACCTGGGGCCTGCCTGGCAGCTGACACAGGCACGCGCCCCCTGTCGCCTGTCGCTGTGATACTCACACTGATCTTGGTCCCGTCGTTGTCCGGGTCTCGGTCGGGCACCAGCTCCACCTGCGGGGGAAGGAGACGATGCTCAGGCTCGGGACCCCGACGGTCCCCGTCCCGATCCGGAACGCAGCCGCGCCGAGCCAGCTCGGCGACACCCAGTCGTGGCAGCAGGAACGTCTCGGTTGGGGGGATGTGGAAAAGAGACCGGCGAGGACCCGCGCAGCCCCAGCCGGCGGGTCGCCGCCGAGGCCAACGCGGCGCGGGGCGGCGGGACCGCGCGGGGGCGCTGCCGAGTCGCGCGCGCTGGGATGTGGCTCCCGGACACCGCGGGCTGGTGAGGGCCGGCCTCCCGGAGGGGGCGCGGGCGCCAGTGGAAGTTTGCGGGGACAGGAGTCTGCGTCTTTGCCCGGCCTGCCTCCCCTCTCTGGGGTCTCTTCCAGATTTTCTTTTTTCGCTTGGGCGAGTCCGCCGCCTCTTTTGCTGAACTGTTCAATCTCGGCTCTGACCCTCTCTCCCTCCTCTCCCCGCTGCTTCCCTTTCCCAGTCCCTACTGCCTTTCTCCACACCTCCCCTTCCCCTCCCACCCCTCCCCTCCGCTCTCCTCTCGAGCGTGTTCAAGAGTAGCCTGCGCTCCCCTCCTTCACTCACTCCCTATTCCCTCTACCTTCGCACCTCGCCGCCTCTTTCCACCGCCCCTCCTTTCTCTCTCTCCCCCCCCACTTTCTTCCCCTTTCCCTCCCTCCCACGCCCACCTCCCCTTACCCCTCCTTTTCCCTCTTCTCTCTCTCCCCCCTCCTCCCAATCTCTTTTCTCCCAGCCTCAGTCGTGAGAAGAACTGACAGGTGTGTGTGTGTGTGTGTGTGTGTGTGTGTGATGGAGACACAGAAAAATCCCTCCCGACCCCACCGTCCTGGAAGGGGGAGAGGGTCCTGGGCTGTAACGATACAGTAGTCCCCCCCTTTTGACAGCTTGACAATAGCCGGTACTAAAAGGAGGAGGTTATTCCCAGTTTTAATCTGGAAACACTCCACCACCCGACTTCCTCCTTGGTTTTGACGTAATGTCACCAGGACACATTCCGGCTCACCCCCTGGCATCACTCACGCTAAGAGAGCCAGGCGGGTCCCCAGGGGCGTCCAGTACCCCTGGGTGCACCTAGAGGACCAAGGGGGTGAGTGGGACAGACGCACGCGGCGTTGCGGGCGACGCGACTCTGCTACCTGCGCACCAGCCACCTCGGCCCCGGGCTCCAAGTCCTCGGGCCCCCGCAGGAACCACCACTGGATCTCCAGATACACCGAGGCAGAGCCACTTTGGAAAGCGCAAGACATCTCCACATTCTGCCCCTCGGTCGCCGTCACGTTCCGCGGAAACTCGGTAAATTTTGCTGCAAAACAGAAACGCATCCTTTTGGAATACCCACACCACTCTTGTCTGCGTCTCGTTCCTTGAGAGCTCTCTACATTTTTCCCGGACTTAAAAAAAAAGGGGGGGGGGCAACAAAACCCCTCTGTGCCTTCTCGGGCTTTGCCTGGTTCCCCAACCCCTTTTCCTTTGCCTCATTCATGTTTATTTTTGGTATCATCCTAAATAACTTTGTTGTTGATGAAGTCCAGGTAATGGAAAGGTTAACAAGCTGCCAAATAACTCACCTCTGTTAGCCAAGTTGCCCATAGTTCGATCCATATACCTTTTGTCAGATTGCAGCATTACCCAAAACTTACAGAGGGATTCAATGAGCTACATTTTTGACAAATCTGTCAAGTTGATATATGGGGAGAGCCTCTTGCTCTAAGTTTCTAAACAACCTATGACTAACTGGTTGTTTCAAGTAATAGAGAATGGATCATGATTACCTGTCAAAATGCACATGCCTGATATATCAAAACAATTACTAGCAACTGTGGTTTTAAGGCCACAGCAGCGAAAGGAGTTGCACACTTTCTAAGCTGTGAACATTTTTTTCTTTCTAGATTAACCTTCATATTTGTTCTCATCAAACTGTATTGTAAATTGCCATATATCATGGCATATAAGAATCACACACCTGGTTTTAGTTCAGAGTGAAGACTGTTTTGAAGTCACCAGAGATTTTTTTTTTTCAGTCTTTTCGCTATCAGTCTCGACACTACCTGTCTGCAAATTCAGAGTTAAGGTGAAGCTCACAAAAATGAAATGTTCCCTTTCTCCCAAAGGCATTTCTTTAACATGGAATGCTCTGAGGGGTTGTTCTTATCTTGTCTGAGGGATACTTTGTGAAGAACTGATGGTTTCCCTAAAAGTAATCCTGGAGAGATTTGTGGCTGATGGAAGTGCACAGTTACAATGCACACTCGTGGACAGGAGGACTGAGGGGCTGCAGGACTGATTTAGGGTGGATGCTCTTTCCCCCCACTTTTTAAAGAGGCACCATCAGAGTGTCTTTTCAAAATTTTAGGAAATACCAACACGATCTCAACTGAAGGGGAACTGTATTTATGCTTAAAGGAAGAAGCAGATGTTAAAGAAGACATTCTGATGTGAAAATGACTTTTCTGTTTAAGCTGTAAGGAGGAATATGGCATTTCTGCTTGCAGAAGTGATGCAGTCTTTTGGCAGCAGAGATGTGATCTGTTCATGGTGCTGAAATGATCACTGCAGCCTGCGAAGTCCCGAACAACTGGATTCAGCAGGCTGCTGCGGCTTGTAATGCAAGTCGTGCCTTTTTATGGGTCCTCAGAGGACTCTGTCCTTTGATAAACACACATGCAAACGAAGTCGCAAGGACCCAGAAAAAGGAAACTAAACCAATTCTGCCTACACTGAGGACTGGCAATGGAGAGCCCCCCATCCCCAGCTGTTTGTTTGCCATGATTATGTATGCATGAGTGGTTACCCAGTGCATGCACACAGATACAAGGCGCACACACACACACACACACACACGCAACCCTGTGTTTGCACTTGCCCAGGAACCCACTTCATTGTCAGGCACAAAGTAGATTTGCTCTCAAATCTAGCTTGCCTACTATTTAATAAACTTTAAATAAAAACGCCAGACAGAACACTATTCCACTGTTACTTGCTAAGAATCTCACTACATTTGCTTGGCCGTTCTTGGAATATAGAGAACACACACACAGAGACACACACAGACACACACACACTCCGCAAGCAAATGTATATTTGCCAATGAGCACAGACTTACCTTGAGAAGACAGCCCTTGTTGAACATATAAAACGGAAAAGAAAACAAATCCAACATATGCCAAAAAGATCCCCATCATTCCAAGGGGGGGGGGGGTCACATCAGTGTAGCCAACAGCCAAAAAGCCCAAAAAGATAGGAATGCAAACGTATCAGAGGCTCAGTCTCAGAGCCCTGCGCGCGACCCAGCAAACATCCTGCTGCTCACTCCGCGAGGACTGGCTCTGGGGAGAGGGGAGTGCAATTCGCGAAGGTTCAAACCAGCTGGCTCGGATTCGGAGAGGCTTCGAGTCCACACTCGGGCTTGCAACGCGGGGAAGTGCCTCCGCTGCTTCGCTGCCTGCTTTCAGCTACCTGGCAGCTCGTCCAACGTCAGCCCGCTGCTCCGGCTTGCGTGATCACTGCCCTCCCTAAACGCCGAGCCCGCTCGCGAAGTGGGGAGTGGGCAAGGGGGGCGGGCTGGAGGACTTCACCGGGCTCGCCGCGCCGCAACTTTTCCCTCTGATGGCTGCGATGATGCCTTTAACTCTCTGCGCGCCGGACGGCTCCCCACCTGCCGGGAACGCGGGCCGTGCAGCCCGCGGCAGGCTCGGGGCTTGGCGGCTCCGTCTACGTTTTCTTTCTGGAGAGCAGGAGCATTTATTTTTTTTCCAATTTGCCCTTTCCCCCCATCGATTGAATCTTTCTTGCCTCGGCAGACTGGATCGCTCGGCGCTTAAGAGGACAATACAGTTGTAGGATTGCGGTGTAGGATTGCTGGGGGCTGGGAGCTGGAGATTTGGGAAGGAAGTTGGGGCACTGTTGAAGGTGGGGAATGGGATGGGGTGAAGGAGACTGCTTTGGGGCGATGAAAACAGTCTTTTGAGGGAAATGTCGCTTAACCAGTTATTAACCGCTTTAACTAGAGTGATCACATGCTATTATCCCTCACGAATTTATTGCTGAACAGCCTCCCGTGGAGGAGAAACAGCTCGGGCAGGCACCATACCACTCCTGCTGGCAAATGGAAAAGACAAAAAGTAAAAAGTCACGTAGTGAGAGAATTTTCCAGAAAGAAAAGCCCATCATAGTGTGATTACTTTGATTTTATTTCATTATTATTTTTTAAATTCATACACCCCTCTGCCCTTCCTGCTGTCATCTGTGTTGTGGAATGGGGGAGGGGTTTTAAGTACCAGTAAGGTCTTCATTGCATGATTTTTCTTTTTGTTTATTTGCTTTTCTTTTGCATAACAATAACTAATGTTCCTTACGATACATGAATAAAGAATATTATTTTAGGGGGGAAAAAAGCACAGTAAGTTTTAGGATTTGGAACAAATCTACTTATTTGCCCTGGAGAGGGTTTGAGATTGAGATATTCTGTTTCTTATTAAGAATCTACAAACAGTATGTTAAAGACTCCATTTGTCCTTATGAAGTCCAACCATTAGCCAATGAATTTAAATCTTTTCAACAAAATTAAAATCATTTGCCATCTAAGCAGAATACCAGATATTTTATTCCCATTATTATTTCTATGCAACTGTACCACAAATCTTCAAAATTATTTCAAAATATGACTCAGCCTTAACAATGCTGTCAGGAAACCAGTGCAATATATGTATTTTCATTTTACTGATAAAGAATTTGTAGTTGGCTAATTCCTTCACTGACCAGAAAGAAATTAACCTTATCAGAGCTGTTGGATTTCTAAACCACTTATCCTTCTACTGCTAAACACAGCAATAACTTAAATGATCAGAACATATTATAAAATACAATATTATTTATTTTCTGAAGATATATTTACCTTTCACTATGGGTAGAGACAGAGTATAAGATTTATAAGATTTGGAGAAAGTCATGGGGAATATTTTACATCTGTTCATGTTTAGGCCAACAAGGCTCCATATCCTTCTTGTATTGAGCAAAGGATTCTGAAGTATGTCATTTCAAGAAAATAAGTCTCTTTACCTCCAAATACTCTCTCGTGGAGAATGTGTTCAGAATATAGAAACAATCCAAGTTAATATACTTACCCCATACTTAACATTATTTGGAAAATAAACAAAACTTTGCAGGTATTAGTTGCAGAGTTTAGTTGTCTCCAGCTTTAAATTTTATCCCTAACAAGATATGCTCAATGTTTATTTCACGGTTTTAGAGTTAGTTGAAGCATTTGACATAAACATGAGATTAATATGTCATGAAAATGTCCTGACTTCAAGGTTATCTGCTGTTAGAACAGTTTCCAATATAAAGAAAAGGGCATCCATTTTAAACAAGGGAAGTTCCGAATTTATTTAGCAAAGCACCTGAAATTCTCTCAAAGGGAGCTTGATCTCGTAACTATAAAAATACAATAAAAATAAGTTGAAAAAGTGTTAAAGTGTGAGAAAAGCTTTTATAAGACAGATAAACTGTCAAACTATAAGCATTTAAGCAACAAAAGAAAGAAAAAGAAAGAAAAAAGAAAAGAAGAAGAAATAAAGTAACAAGGAAGACAAAATTGGAAAAGGATTTATGTTCTTTTCCTTCTGAAAAATGCCTGATTGGTATTTTATTTTCAATTTTGCCAAGATAGACCAATAATTTTATCTTAAATATCATTTATATTGTGTGTATTATATTATATTGTATGAATTGATACTATTGTATCATTTCAAGGACTATAAATAGTGTTGGTAAACACACTTGTATTATTTCCTTTAGAACATTTGCCTTATTAAAGCCAAAAATGTTTCTATATTAACAGTTTGAAATGATAAAAAAGTTTAATTAAAAAGTAAATATATCTAATATATCAAAATGTCACAGTTCCGAGACAAAGTCCCACTATTTTTATAAGTCCTTATAAAACACCACATTCTCCTATAAAATTGGTGGTGACTTACCAGGATGGATTACTTGTTTGCATCCAGAAATGGGAGAGACATTTCCTTCCCATTTCTCCTTTCCCAAAATGGTCATTGCTGGTGTCTTACCCTATAAAAATGACTGCAAATCTCTTCTTCAAACAAACACTTTTCTGTGAACTAATCCTCCAAAAATAAAATCTTAAATCTCATTTTTTAATTTGTTTTTTTGTCTTCTAAACTAACTTTTGTTTTTTTTCTCTATTTTAAAATTTAAATATTTGTATCACCACGCTATTTTCCCCCTAAAATATGTAATAGAAATTCTTATTTGAATATGCTTCTTCCTTGGGTATAAGTCAATCTTTGAGTTCATTTCATTGCCTTTCTTTTGGTATCTTATTTAGATTGCATTGCACTCTTTTCTTGTATATAAAAACTTGTTTAACTTTATCTTGCAAACACTGCTGACTTATGATGTCCACAGTCTTTCCTAAACACTTTCAGAGCCTTTGATCCACCCAAGAGCTAAGCAGGAGAGGGGTTCTTCAAGATCTGTGATTGTCAACTGCATTACCCACTTCTCCTAAGACAGCTTTGGGGCATTTGTTCACTTTGAACTTGACGAGAATCACCATATTTCAATCCCAAAGGCTCATGATAAAATTACTTTCCCTATTCTACTTGCATAATCTGTCCTAAATTGGGGCTTAAGTGCCCAATGTAAACTTTTAAAATTGTCTCAATAATTGGAAAACCCCAAATTAAGTATTTTATTTAGAAATAACCTTTAAAATAGAACCATCTAAGAAATTAGAAGATCATCCTTGTGGATCCAGAAGCATAAGCTTAATTTCTTCACATCTCTGGCAAGCGGTTTAGTTGAACTGCTCATAATTTCCATCCATGCACCAAGAGGTTCATTCTACTGTGTTCTCAAACATGGTCTTTGGAGGAGCTCAAAACTGCATAGAAGAGACTATTTCAGGGCCTTGAGAAATATTTTCACCTGTAACCTCATGCCTAGAGTTTTTTTTTTTTTTTCTAACTTGGGGAAATAAAAGGAAATAGACCTCTTTAGATATGGAAGCAATATAAAAAATCCACAGAGAAACTCTTTCAACAGAAGAAAATAAGAGTCAGGAGAAAGTCACTAACTCGTATTAACTGAAGATGAGCTTTTAAAATTTGTTTTCTGTTGAATTATAGAAGCCAATGCCCTGGTAGTGCTGGGTTTACTGGTCTCCACATGTCACATTTTCAAAGATATGAGAGAGTCAAGGGCAAGATAATAACAACAGAAACAACTTATAAATGACATCTCTTTCTCTACATGTATATAGCATGTATTCCTAAAATGAATGAATTTCAGAAATGGTATAGAGCTTAGTAAGCAATCAATCCAAACTGCTCATTCTACATATGACAGGCCAGGGACTACAAGTAATGACTGCTCACTTGCGTCACAAAACCAAATCAAGACTTTCTTTCGTCAAGATCCTAAGATCTACAATGCTTACAACAAAGGATTGAGGATTAAATATCGTAGGGCAAGCAAACAAAACTTGTTCATGCTCTTAGCTCTATAGGGTATATTGAAAAAGTGACCACTAAAAAGAAAATCAATTGCACCCAAACTCTCTCCTAGATGCTACAAAACAAGTCACTTGAAATTCCAGATGCTGAGAATAGTCTGTGAATCTCCTCCACACAATTTCTGGTTGTCTCATATTTTGCATCTTATAAAATAAGCAATTCGGAGAGGAAGAATAACCAGCGGTCTTTGGAAGTGATCAGCATTGTAAATAGCCAGGTGGCCTAGATTGACTAACTGCCCATTTTATGGCTACTGGTCATTTTAGTCTTCCACATGGCATTTGTCCCTTTTTCTTTTCCTTTAATGCATGACCAAAATATAAATTACCTAGATCTAGCTTATATTCTGTGAATCTCTATGTAACTTTGTAGTTGCAGTTCACAAAGTCAGAACTCAAATTATTCATGAGGTCATGTTATGTCATTTTCAAACTGTAATATCTGGTCTAGATGTGACCTCCAGAAACGGCAAAAGGAAGTGTCATATTTTCTGTAAAAGTTAATATCACGATCTGCTTAGATGTCCTCCCCAAAACTCATGGACCCTTACCTTTATCTTATTTTTCTCTTGTGAAAGATTAAAATGGGCTCATAATCAAACATAAGTTGTGTCTGTTAATTTCCTAATTAGCAAAAGAAGTTAACGTGGAACTAGGTGCCTACCCTTAGTAAAAAATCTAAAAAATCTACAGCTAAAAGCCATGAAGTTAGGGAAGTTGAGGCTGCTGTAGCTGCATCTACCATCTCTGGAATGTTTCTTCTTGCTTCAAAATTATGCCGCAGTCAGTTGAAACTTGGGGCTTGTGATATTTCTTAATTTCAATATATGCTTTCTTTCATTAAAAATCCCATGGGTTTGATTAGACATGAATAATTACATTCTACATCTATTTTTGTGCAACAGATAATTATTTGGGGGAAAGAAAACCAAAATACAAGAAAAGCAGCAATTTTTGGTAGAGTCCATAATTCTAAGCTTGTCCATGATTCTTTGCCTATATTTACAGTATGCATGAAAGTAAATAATAACTTATAATAATGCTACTGAACATCTTTCAAGGAACGAAGCAATTTACAAACATTTGACTAGCCTTA